ACAGACAATGGCAGCAGGGGTTAGAGAGGCTTGGTGCAGGGGCTGAAGTCCAGGAGGAGAGAAAGAGACAGAGAGGAGCTGCAGGGCAGCCTGAGTTAGTTAGCTGGTTAGGCTTCATAGAGTACCATGTGCAGTTTGGGGCTCAGATTTTAAAAAGGCCATGGAGAAGTCAGAGAGGATCCAGAGGCAGGTGATAAAAATAATACAGTGCTTGGAAGGTAAGTCGTATGAGAGGTTAAAGGAAACAGGCACGTTTAGCTTGTGGAAAAGGTGCTTGGGAGGGAACACGATAGCAGTTTTCAAATATATGAAGGGGGCTGCCATAAAGAAGCGGGAAAACACTTTCTCTCTCCTGCTGCAGGGGGCATGATGTGGACCAATGGCTTGAAGTTGCAGCAAAGTAGGTTTAGACGGGATATCAGCATAACCCTCTTCACTGTTAGAACAGTGAGGCAGTGGCATAGACTGCCTAGGGAAGTTGTGATATCTCCATCATTGGAAGTGTTTCAGAAGAGCTTGAACAAGCATTAGTCAGGGATGAAGGGATGATTTAGGACTAACTATGCCTATGATCTGCTATGGGTATTTCCTATATTTCTGGACTTTGCTAGTTACCACACGGGGCCAGGAGGGAATTTTTTTCCTCTTTCTGTTGCTACATGTGTCAGTGGTATTGTTTTAAACCAGTGCTCAGAAGCACTGGGTATTAGCTGCAGCCAGGCTGGTGATTTTGACTGGTGTGTGTCAGTGCACCTGCTGGGCCTTAAACCCAGAGGTTTCTAGCAAAAGGATCTTGCCCCTCTGCTCAGAATCAACCTGATCACCATATCTGGGGTCAGGAAGGAGTATTATTACATAAGCAGACTTATACAGATTGTGGGAGTTTTCCTCTGTAGCAGCAGCAAGGCACTGGCCACTGTTGTCCTCTTGTTTTACTTGTGGCAGGTGAGGATGTTATGTCTTGTGTGTCAGAGCTGACTGTGTAGTTTTATTCATAGGTGAGACAAGGATTTTTATAGGGTGGTTGTAGCAAGGTTGTGGCCACAGGGCCGTGCAGCCCCTGTCTGGTTCAGGCTCAGCTGCAGCCCTTCCCTTGAATCTCACCTGCTATGCCTTGCTCTTAAATGAAGGTTATAAAAGGGAGGCTGCCTGTGGGCTCTGCATAAGCCTGAGCCTATGTCGATCCCTACTGGGCCTCTCCTGGTGCCTAGTCTTGTGCCCCAAGCAAGCAGGCCCTCTCAGCCTGTCTGTACCCTGCTGAGTACCTGTCGAGGACTAGTGCTTGACTCCATACCTCCCCTACACCATGCTCCAAGCCTTGCAGGTGTTCTCCCTCTGTGATGTTGTCTACTTATGCACTCAGCCCCTTTGGGCCTTTGGACCCCCCTGGTCCATTGAGCTCCTCCTCTAGGCTCCCAGACCCCTGGTCCTACATGCCACCTCTTATCTGGGCTCTCAGACCCCTGGTTCTGCACACCACCCCTTCTCTGCACTCCTGGACCCGTGGTCCAGCACACCACCCCTTCCCCGGGCTTCCAGACCCCTGGTCCAGCACACCACCCCTTCCCCGGGCTTCCGGACCCCTGGTCCAGCACACCACCCCTTCCCTGGGCTTCCAGACCCCTGGTCCGGTGCACCACCCCTTCCCTGGGCTCTCAGACCCCTGGTCCTGCACACCACCCCTTCTCTGCGCTCCTGGACCCCTGGTCTGGCATACCACCCCTTCCCTGGGCTTCCAGACCCTTGGGTCTGCATGCTGCTCCTTCTCTGGGCTCCCCAACCCCAGTTTCTACACGCTGCCAATTCTCTGGGCTCCTGGACCCCTGGTCCAACTTGCAGCCCTTCTCTGGACTCAGGGACCCTCTGGTGTGGCTTAGCCCCTCCCCGGGCACCAGGATCCTCTGTGCGTTCAAAATAAAACAGAGGCTACTTACTTGTAAAACTCAGTCCGACCTGCCTCTGCTCCCAGGCCTGAAGAGTTGTTTATGTAAGTACCAGTCCCTTCAGGAACCTTGCTGCCCAGAGATCCTCACCTTGTGGCTGCCAGGGAGAAACTGCTTGACCAGCTCAGGCTCTGGGCTTGAGCCCTCTTCCGGTCAAGTGATTCTCTCATGAGCCCCCTGCACCACCTGCAAGCAACCTTGCAGGTTGCTAGCTCCCTTAAAGGAGCAGGCACACCCCAGTGTCCTGCTACAGTGGTATGGATAGGGATGATCCTGCCCCTGTGTAGTGGCTGGACTAAATGACCTCTGGAGGTTCCTTTCAGTCCTACTTTTCTATGATTCTATTATTCTAACTTAAGCCTTCTCAAGAGAGTTGGCAGCTCCTCAGGACCTACTTGTATGTAATATAATGTGGAACTCGATCTCAGTTAGTAATCAGGCCCTGACTTGGGACCAACTACTGAGTAAGACTCGAACAACCAGAAGTGCCTTGTTAATTTTGCCCAAAGGTTTTAGTAATCTGTCATCCTATTTCCTATATCTTACAGACCTCTTATATAAAAATACCCAGGGGTTTAACTGCCCAAGTGTGAGGCTAAATTTACCCGGACAAAACCTCAACTGGCTTTAGGCCTATTTTGGCCGTCTGATAGATTTCTTACATCATACCTTACACTGCAAGCATTTTTCTTTGACTCGGCATGTCTGACAGCATATATTTTTGTGGTACTGTCAAATGAATAGACCTAGACTTCTTAGAAAAGGAAGTAGCAGGTATTGAGTTTGATGTTACATATTTTCCATTGTCTGTTTGTAAGAAGTTATGTTTCAGTTACTGACAATAAATTCTTCTGAGTATAAGCAACATGAAATCATCAAACTTCTGTTTAAGGAATAGTATTTAACAGGTAGTGAATTAGTTTATAAAAGAGACTGGAGTTTTAATATCAAAATACTTACAAAAAGCAGCAGCAGCAGTGGAGTTATAACAATGCCCTGGAAAAAACAAAAGATGATCATCTGTTAGCCTGGAAGCAGAAATACTCTTACTGCCATCTAAAACCTTGGTGTGGAAACACAGTCTTATTGTAATTTAGCAGAAAGCTAAGCAACAAAGAAAGGACAAGTTCAGTTTAATTCTTCACTGCAAACATTCTTAAGCACCTGCATAGGAATTATTTATACTTACTGGGTGCATCTACATGAGACTTACTGTGGAGTAGAGTAATTGGCTCTGCAGTAAAACATCAGTATCTACACATACAACACTATTAGGCTGGAGTAAATTAATTTACTCTGCCGTAGCATAGCACTGACCAAAAGTGCTCTTCCACAGTGGGGCAAATACCACTACTGCAACACACATGTAGATAGGGATCCAACTGGCTAGGGCATGAGAGTGCTACAGTGTGGGGGCTGCCTGTTAGCTAGCCCTACACTGTAGCACCCTTGTGCTGGGCTGGGGGGAGCAGCCCCAGGCTGGCAGGCTTGCCCCCAGGGGTCCTCTGCCAGCTGGGGCTGTGTTGCCTCGGCTCAATGTGTTGTGGTCCCAGGCTCACGTAAAGACGCTACACCCAGGAGCAATAAACTCTGCCATGACAGTGCTGGAGTTTATTCAGGTGCCTTAATAGCACGTGTATGTACACCCAGTGTAGTTAAATCTAAATTATTTCCCTAGCTTTTCCCATTTTAGACTGGAGTCTCCCTTTCCCAACACACACAATAGGGAAGTATAGTTCACTGCCTTGTAAATCTTTTGCCAGCAAATGTGTTATAACCTAACTTGGTTAAAATGCCCCTCTTTAGAAGGAGACAGGTGGTTCAGTCCCAGGCTGCCTAAGCCACGATCCTCTCTTGAGCAAAGGCTGCATCAACTGTGATGAATTAGGTGTCGTGATTTTGTAATGTAAACTGATATCCCCTAGGAAATGAGCTGAGATCTCAAAACTCATTTCACTTGATTAGACTCCATGTCTCAGTGGTGGAAGGCAAGTCTTTCATCTAATTTAATCACACAGGACCACCTTAGCTCTCCACATCCCCCAGGCAGAGACAGGCAAAAGATTTGTTTTCTTCACTGACAGGGAACAGGTTTAAGGCTGATGATTGGACAAAATGCAAGACTAAGTTTCACGAAGGCAAATCTTAAAATGAGTTGTTTGGGCTGGGAGTTGACATGCTTCAGTTTCACAGCTGTAAATGGCAATTCTCCTTCACCCTTCCATCACACATCAATATTTTATTGTGATTTGATAAAACCACCCTGTCATTTAATACATATAAATTCACAAATCTTAGTTAGAATGTATATTCTAATCCAAGTTTATTATTCTTCAAAATATTTATTAGACATCCTTATTCCATAAATTATTTGAAAACTCTATTTATTTTCCAACTTGTTTATGCCAGTCTATCTTTGGTT